GCTATTTAAGCCCTTTAAAAATTGTACTCTTTGTTTATTGCAGTGCTTCCGAGTTCCAGGCACAGAGCTGGTTTCATTGTACAAGAGCATGAGATGAGCTGCACTCCAGACAGCCTACGGTTCAGGGAAAAGACAAAAGACAGCAGACAGATATGGGCAAAGAGAAAGAATGCGAGAGAATGGTAAGAAAATATTCATCATAATACTAACATTTTTTATTTAAAGGGCATTGTTGAACAGTGAAGTGGACTTTGCTAAGATGACGATGTTTGCCTACTCCTAATTTAGGGGAAACAGTGAGATTTCATATACCTCTGTTTTGGCTTTGGGAAAACGGGTTTTAATGTCAATCACAGCACAATTTCTATGGAATCCTAACTAGCCTGGGCTTGCATATGGTCATTTCCTTAATGCTTAGACAAGCTGTAAAGGTATGTGGAGAGTGTCTGCTCCTTAAAGGGCATTCGGTCAAGGACCTTTTTCAGTGCAACAAGCTGTAATAAAAAAGGGAGGAAGCCATAAAACAAGAGCATATGGAGACACAAACCTGACCAGCAAATGATAAGGGAGGCAGTGATGAGAACCAAAGCTGGTCAGTCACAATTAATGAGCGCATGTGGGAGTGTGAGAATGTTTATTCCAGCAAGGTTATCTGATCTGGGACCTTGTCAGTTGGGAAACTAAGCAAAAAAGGGGAAACAAGAAACAAAATATACAGAGACACAGACCTGACAAAATCCATGGAGACCATGATAAGAAACAAACCTCACCACTCACACTATGGGCTATCAAGAAACTACAGGTGCTACTTCCAGAAAGACCAACTTGCACTTTTCAACTGATAAGACTGCAAACCAGGGGGACCCCAGACGGGGAAGGGGGTGGGAATCCATAGAGCTGTGGAACAAAGACAGGAATAGACAGAAAGCGGTATAAATGAGGCCAGCTGCATGTAAAACAGGGCTAGTCAGTACGCTTGCCTGTCTGAGCCCTGATAATCACCGTCTGTCCCACCTTCTTGTATCTACTTACTAAATTATAACTCTAAATCATCTCTCTGTGTAATCTCACTTTCTAACCTGTGTCTATGCATGCTGCAAGGGCTATGTGCCAGCTACTGGTGAGACCCGTGTGTAAGAGAAAACTGGTGCCAGCTCCTGGCATCAGACTGGGGATATGGGCACCCTGCAGCCTGTGGTGTTGGCTGATGGAGCGAGTGGGGGTCCCAGCATCGGTAGTTGGAGGGGTTGTAGCTCTCTGGATCTAGGGAGGGCCCTACAGACTTTGTGCCCAGAGTGCCAACTACTGGGACGACCAGCGTGAGTGGATTTGGTGCCAGCTGCTGGAGTCAGATCAGGGTCACGGGCACCCCTGGCCTGTGGTGTCAGCTACAGGACCAGCTGGCAAGTGGAGGGAACCTTGGGTCCAGGGCAGGCAGGCAGGGGGGTCCATGCCGGTATGCCCAAGGGGAGTTGTGAATGTGGAGCGCAGGAGGGACAAGCGTGTGAATGCACGTTTGCTAACAAGCATCAAGCTGGACTAGGGGGCAAGTAGGGGACCCATGAAGCAGGTAAGGGGGCCTGGGATCTGTGCAGGGGTACTGGGCAGACAGGGGGGCCATGCTGGTACTCGAGGCATCTGCAAACGTATGTGTGCTTGTAAACCTAAAGAGTGGTGCGTGTGTGCCTGCACTAGAGAACTTTTATCACTACTGGCCAAAGAGGAAGAAAGGGACTTCTTCTGGCTCTGGAGCCCTCAGCACAAGAAGGACATGGAAGTATCGGAGCGAGTCCAGAGGAGGGCTACAAAAATGATCCAAGGGCTGGAGCACCCCTCCTATGAGGCCAGGCTGAGAGAGTTGGGCTTGTTCAGCCTGGAGAAGAGAAGGCTGAGGGAAGACCTGATTGCGGCCGTTCAGTACCTAAAGGGGGCCTATAGGAAAGATGGAGAAAGTCTTTTTAGTAGGGCCAGCTGTGACAGGACAAAGGGTAATGACTTTAAACTAAAACAGGGTAGGTTTAGACTGTATATAAGGAAGAAATTCTTTACAATGAGGGTAGTGAAACACTGGCACGGGTTTTCCAGAGAGGTGGTGGAGGCCCCATCCCTGGAAACATTCAAGGCCAGGTTGGACGGGGCTCTGAGCAACCTGATCTGGTTAGCGGTGTCCCTGCTCCCTGCAGGGGGGTTGGACTAGATGACCTCTAGGGGTCCCTTCCAACCCAAAACATTCTATGATTCTATGACTTGTCTGTGTTTATGCAAGTCCAGTATGTAGGTGCCATTGAGGGCAACGCCTCATCTGCAGCAGCCTGTGTGACCAGCTGTGGCTGCAAGAGGTGCTCAGCTTTGTCACTGGTCGAGCCTGCAGATAGGAAAGCAGCAGCTGCATCCCTCAGCCCAGGCCTAAGGCCGCAGGTCCCCGGGCAGGAGAGGTTCTGGGCCTGAACAGCTGGAGGAGATGGCTGCGCTTCTTGGATCACTTCACACAAGTCGGCATTCACAGAACCGATTTGGGGTCCTACAGGAGTCAGTAAGAGACTTCCAACGCCTTCAGCAGACTCGAGGCGAGAGCTTCTGGTATTTGCCAAGGTGCTCGGGCAGACGCCTCGGCCCTGGCCTGAGTCACCGCTGTAACCCCACCCTCCCGCCGCCCCGCCACAGCCCGGCCGCCCA